AGTCGCGCACGAGGCTCTCCTCTGGTTCGCGCTCGTGGCATTTGAGTCGCGCCCCGTTGGGGCCCATTGGGCCGTCGCCCTGGCGGCCCGAATCCGCGCCGCCAGCCCCCCTTTCCCCTCGCCTCTGCCCCCCCCGAAGACCGAACTTCTCTCGGGCGTCATTTTCCAACAAGTCGGCGAGGAAGGCTCGGCGGCCCTTGCCGCGACCCGTGCCCTTCCTCTCTAAGTGACCATCCAGGCGCGGCGCGTGGGCCTGTCGCTGCTGTCGTTGTCGAATCATCGCCATCGCGCTTCGGCGCGCTCGCGAGCCCAGAATGCGCCGCGCCGCTCCGCGGGGGCGTCGCGCAGCTCGGGGCCGTCAGCGGCCGTCTGTCCTTCGCTGAACAAGCCGACGGCGTCGGCATCGGTGCCCGAGTCGACGGCAGTCGCGGGGGGGCCGCCCGCGCTGGCGGCGCTAGCGCAGACGGGCAAGGCGCCGCCCACGGCCCGATGGCCGATGGACCCAGACCGCCCCAGCTCGACCCGACTGCAGTGCATTAGACGCTCTGAGCCTGACCGCGCGCGGGCGCGCCCGCGAAAAAACTTCGCCGTTGGCGCGAGCGAACCGCGCTGAGGCGAGATTGGCAGGCGACCCCTCGACCACCTGCTCGAAGCGCGGCAGTCGGCCCGTCGCGAATGCGAGCTGCGCCGCGCTGGCCGGGTCGGCCATATGGCGGCCGCGCGACGGCGCTGTAAGATTATGGTGAGCCACGCGCTCGACGCCCCCACCGCGCGCAAGAGGGGGCCGAGGCCCGCGCGGCCGACCGTAAGTTGACTAACTTACAGGGCGCGGTTGCGGAGGATGTCAAAACGCGTGAGGTTTCGATGCGCTGCTGTGTTAATCGGTTGAAGTTCACAAATGCTGAGACTGCCGAAGCGCGGTCCTCCTCGCCCGGTTGGCCCCGACGTCCGGCCGAACTGTGAATGCAAGACGTCAACGGTGGCACTGGGCTGCCGCCGATGGCGCCCCATGACATCTGGCGGTCACTCGCCCGCGCGTTCTCGGGCCACGCCGGCGAGGCGCCGATCGCTGCATGGGAACCCGAGATTGCTGCTCGGGCCACCAGGCGAGGAAGCGCCGCATGCTGCCGTCGCCGCTGCCTGCGCCCATGGAGGTGAGGCGGCAGGACAGGGCAAGCGCGCCCAATCCGTTGGCTTTCTATCCGGAGAGGAGGCCCCCCCCTCGGCCAAGGAGGCGCTGGAGGCGCTGGAGGCCCGGGGCCTACCGACGGCGTCGCTCCGACCGTGAGCCTCGGAACCGCCGTGGGCCCCTGCTCCGCGCGCGTTCCTCTTCGTCAGCGCAGTGCATGGGCGTCATCTCCAGTCGCGTCGTCACTCGGGACACCCCGCGACGTAGATGCGAGCGCGCCCTTCGTGCGTCGCGCAGTCATTGACTGGGCGCCGCAAAATGCACGATTGCCCTGAGGAGTGCGCGTCGGGAGCTCGCCGTGCCAGCATGGTGGGAATCGATGGACGCGGCGATATGTCGCGCGCCAGAAGGACGACAACTGGTAGTCCCAGACATGTTTCATTGTCTTTTGTGGAGATGGCAACATAGTTGTCCACCACCCCGCAGGGCCCCCACTCTGATCCGAAGTCTCATCCGCCTGGATTTCCCAGGGCTCCCGCAACATAGTTGCGAGAAGCTCGGGGCCACTGGCTGGGGCTGCTGATGTGAACGATGGTGGTTCCTTTTCTTCTGCCGGCAACAACCTGTGGTTCCGAGAGCGCCGCCATCATAGTTGGAGCACGCCCCGACAGAGAAGCAAGCAACGGCGGGGTGGCGCCGAACCCCGTGAGGTTCCCAATGATGTCCGTGCAATGGTAAATGTCCCTGTGCTCCGACTTTGAGGACAGGAGGACCATGAATACGGAAAGTTGAGAGGGCTGCACCATCTTTGCCGAACGCGGCGGATATGATGATGTAGTGGAAGGCGAACAAAAGACGGGCGGAGGTGCCGCGCGGGTCATGGCGGCAAGAACAATAGATTGGAAGTGTGCTCCGCTACCAACTATGAAAACGGAGTGTACGCGAAGCGATGCTCATGATACGTAGAATAGCACGTTGCGAAAACAACCCTGACACTGGCACGGGAGGATATCCCCCCGTACCCCCGAACCGAAAAGGGCCGCGAAAGGGAGAGGACCATCAGGTCAGCGGCGGGGCCCCCGTTGGGTGCTGATGATCCTCCTGTTTTGGGCTGCCACTACACTGAAGCAAAACAGGCAAGAACGGGCAAAGGAGGCAGGGACTATCAGTAGACTGCCGTTCGAGTGGAAGTAGGAGGAGAGGAGGAGGAGGAGGAGGAGGAGGAGGAGGAGGAGGAGGAGGAGGAGGAGGAGGACGAGGACGAGGACGAGGACGAGGACGAGGAGGACTGAATGTGCCCGAAAGGTTGTCCCATCTTCGGAAGGCTACACCGCCCAGGATGTTGCGCATCTGCTGCTGTAGGCTGTCTTCCTCCTGTCTCTGTTATCATCCCACACGTGGTATTGGCTTCCAGGCTCTGCCCTCGGACCAACCGACCGACCGAGGAGGACGAGGAGGACGAGGAGGACGAGGAGGGAGAGAACCAGGAGGACGAGGAGGAGGAACACGAGCACGGCCCCACTGGCGGCGAAGCACGGGCCGCCGTTTCGGGGCCTCCACGGGGCGAGCAGCAGGCTGGCGAGGGCAGAGCGCGCGCACGCCCGCATCGCATGCGCCCGCGCCCGCGGCCCAGGCGGGCATCGTGGCCCGATGGCTGCCGAGGACGGGCAGAGGAAAGGCTGCCCTCACTGGGACAACAGAGGGGGAGGACGGGGAGGAGGGGGAGGAAGGGGAAGAGGAGGAGGGGGGGATGGGAGAGAGGAGAGAGGAGGAGGAGGAGGAGGAGGAGGAGGAGGAGGAGGAGGAGGAGGCGGAGGAGGAGGAGGAGGAGGCGGAGGAGGAGGAGGAGGAGGAGGAGGACCAGTGTAAACCCAAGGCGCATCGACGATGTTGCAATATACCCTCCCCGCAAAGTCCTTGTTCACAGGTCACTGCAAGAACTTGTTGTCATTGCAAACAGTGGCCCACTCAAAGACAATCGTCTGACAATCCTCAACCGCGGCAAAGCACAACTCCTTGTATCTCAACACGGCGAATCAACGTGAAACTGCTGTACACGTTCAAAACGACTGCACGCGGCGATAAAGCGATAACCACATGTTGACGACTACGTGCCCTCCATGCGTAAAACAAGTCGAATCACGAATGCGCGCAGCGCCGAAGCGAGAGCCACATTTTGAAAACTACGCGCCCTCCAACCGTGAAACTGTTGCACATGTTCACGAAGAATGTGCGCGGCGCTGAGGCGAGAACCACATCTTGAAACGGCGATCCATCCACCCGTGAAACTGCTGCAAACGTTTCAAATAAATGCTCGCGGCGCTACGGCGAGAGCAACACTCTGGAAACCCCTCGCCCTCCATCCGTGAGGCTCTTGCGAACTTTGGAGAGCGACGTATCGTGGCGCTAAGGCGTGAACCACACTTTGACAACGACACGCCCTCCACCCGTGAAAACTGCTGTGACTTCAAGTTTCAGGATCATACATTGTAAGGAAGTCTCAGGCGAAACGCCAGGTCCGCCCTACCGACACGTCTGGGTGTGCGACAGGGAAAAGTTACTCACAAGGAGACGGGATGGATGAGATGGAGGAGGACGGGGATAAAGATATTCGCATCTCTGGCCGTAACAGCGTCCGAGAATGCTCAACATGCCTCAAAGATCGCTCAAAGACGACCCAAGAAGTTACCAAAAAAGAGGGCCCCAAGACGGCCGCCAAGGACCCCCAAAACGGCACAAGAGTCGCCCGAAATGGCCCAAGAAGGCCGCAACAGAGCCCCTACCGGGCCCAAGAGCGGCAACTCGAACTGACATTCCGAGGCCTCCGCCCCAAGAGGACCCCCGAGACCGCCAGCAGGCGCCCCAAAAACTCCCAGGAGGACCGAAGAGGCCCAGAAGAGGCCCAAAAGAGGCCCCAAAAGGGTCCCCAAGAGGCCCCTCAAAGATCTCACCCATGGACTTCGGGACGGCGCAGTTGCGCAAGCCTCCTGAATAAAAGTTGGCACCCGTCCCACGGATGCATAGGTGATGGATGGCAGAGGCGGGAGAACAGCTGGACGCCCACCCCGAAAAGTGGGTAGTTCACACCGCGGAGTGCCCAGCCGCGGGACAAACATGTCCAAGGACGGTAGAGAAGGGAAGAGGCAGAGCACGAGGAATACTGGTGATGCACTTATACACAAGGCCAACCTGGGCCCTGGCATTGTCCATCCTGGGCCCTGGCATAGAGCACGCGCCCTCCTGGCCGAAGCTGGGAGGGTCTGCACAGAATCCGCCCAGACATGGTGGCGGCGTGCAGGTCCCTCCTGCGCAGAGGATGAGCAAGAGAATGAGGATGAAACGGAGGGCAACAGAGGAAGCCCGCCCAGGGACAGCCAAGAGTTAGAGGAGAAACAAGGACCACCGCCACCGAGAACTCAACCAAGAATCGGGCACTCCCGATGGGTTCTCGGAAGCGGTCCGTATTACTCCTCTGAACTGTCGATACTCCCCTGACCTCTCCGTGGGTGAGATCCGACCAAGATCCCTAAGCGAATACAGCCGTGACGACGAGGTCCTCCCAGAAGACCTAAGAAGGCGAACGCGAAGAAAGGGCAGCGGTATCGGTACGCTTTTCTCCTCTGACGAACGATTCCGAGGTCCGATGTCTTGGTTGTTTCAATGCGGGGTCCCCAGAAATCTCGACCCACTCCCTGGGACCTGCGTTTCATCTTGAGTCGTGATTTCACGGTCCCAGGATGTCCCAGGGCCTTGCGAGGGCCCCTAAAGGCCTAAAACAGTGAAAAACCTCCATGCTGATCTGTTTCTATTACGTTGGATCTCTGGAGAATCCGTGATGAGGCCAAGGCGAGCGCCGCGACGCGTTTCAAGCCGCGTCCCGGGCGGAGGTCCAACTGCCGCGCGGCGGGCGGGCGGGCCCGTGTCCCGGCGCCGGCTCCTGAGCGCGGGATGCTCGAGAGAGACGTGCGAAGACGAGACCGCCACCTCGAACTGCGATCATCGAAACTCAATCCTCGAACCCCGATGCCCGAACCCAGATCCCCGAACCCCGATCCCCGATCCCTGATCATCGATCCACGATCCTCGATCCTCGAGTCTCGACCCTCGACGAATTAAGATCCGCCGATGCTCGTCGTCGCCCTCGTGGCATGCTGCTGTCACCATTCCTGTCGTGACGCCCGCCGCCGAGATCCTCGAGGTCACCTGGCTTTGCTCATCACGCCCCGCGGTGCGCGACGCGGGGGTGTCTTCGCGCCCTCGTGCCCCTGCGCCGCCCCCCTGAAGAAGGGTAGTCGCTTGGGCCCGGACCGCGACGCGCGAGACGCGCGGTTATATCCGCGCCCCCGCGGGTGATCTAGACTCCTGCCGTGACGGTCGCCGCCGAGATCTTGATCGTCGTGGCCTTCACAGGCGTCAGCGCACTTGCCATCATCACGCCGTGGATGCCATCTGAACCTACATCATCGTAATCACTATGAGCATGAGCATGAGCATGGTCATCATTATCCTGATCGCAAACCGCCGCATCAGCATCATCATCAGCATCACCACACCAATCACCATCGCCATCATCATAATAATCAAAATCGTAATCATCATCATCATCATCATCATCATCATCATCATCATCATCATCATCATCATCATCATCATCATCATCATCATCATCATCATCATCATCATCATCATCATCTGCATCTGCATCAGCATTATCTTCGTCATCAGCATCATTATCACCATCATCATAGTCATCGTCCTCGTCGTCGTCATCGTCATCATCGGCAGCGGCGGCGGCATCATTACCACCCTCACCATTACCACCACCATCGCCATCACCATCATCAACGCCATCACCTTGATCACCATTATTACCATCAACATCACCATCTTCATCACTATCGTTGTCATCATCAGCATCCTCCTCATTGTCGCCATCGTCATCATAATGGTCATTATCTTGTGATTGGGGCGGTGGCTAGGCTTTGAACATTATGGCAATCCACATCGTGGTCATCTCACAGTCTATGTCTCCATTGGCGAGCCACCAATCCGACGACTGCCTACTCCGAATGGTCCCAACGGAAGGCGAGACTTGCAATACGCAAACGTCAAGCATTTTTAGTGAAGCCTGCACTTGCAATGATTGAAGCGTATACACACGAAAGCACTGCGAGCAAAACGCCACCCCAGCTTCAATACTATGCCGCAGCTGCACGGCTTCTGCTTCAATATTATTCTGATTCAAGACTCTCTCTCTCTCTCCCTCCCTCCCTCCCTCTCCCTCTCTGACCCTGACGCCCGAAATGGGTACGCGAACAATTGATACGATGTCCAACAGCAACTGTTGTCCAAAACCGACGGCGGCCGCTGCTGGACAGGCGACATGTCGTCTTAAACGGACCACGTCCATGTCAACACCGACAGCGAGTCCTGTTCAGGATGGCCAAGAACTGCTGTCAAAATTCGTTTCCATGCGTTCCGTTTTAAGTCAAAGTAGTGGGTCTGGCGCAGATGGGTCCGCGGGGAGAGGTGCAATTGGTCTTGCAATAATTGGTGCCTGGATGTACTAGCTTGCGCGCTGGATGTAATAGGCGCGCGTGGATGCAGTTGTGTATCTATATCACGCGCACTAGTACACACCCAATGAACGGTCGCACCTCTCGCCGAGACCAATCTGTGCCAGACCATTACCCTAGCTTAGATCCGCACTCATTTTGATCTTGCCCAGTGTAGATTAGCGCTGCTCGGCCACGTCGACATCGCAGAGCTGGGGGCGGGGGGGCTGGGAAAGGGCATGCCGCTCCTTGAAAAAAACCGTGTCCCGATCAGTGGCCGCCGCGATCGCTGCGGGGACCTCCAAAACTGACCTGGAAATTTGGCTTCGGGTCGGATTTCACGCAGCGATCTCGGAAGTCCGCGCGGATTTCTAGGATCGGCACTGGGCATTTCTTCCCAGTGAGCGGACCGAGCCAGGGGCGGCGCCAGAGGTGCCGTCAGGGTGTCAAGCGCAGATCCAATACATCCGCGCGGATCTTCGCGAGCTTAGACCGGGCTGCATCGGCACAGTCAAAATCGAATCGGATGGCAGCGGCATGATGCAACGGAACGCATCGGATCGGCATCGCCGTGCAGGCATCGAGCCGCTCCAGGCCGTCGGAGCATCGGCAACGGAACTGGATTGGACATCTCTGACGCTGCTCGGCCCTGCCTCCCCCCAGCGGGGTCTTGGGACCCTTCAGGTCACGGTCGCCCGAGACGTCCTCGGAGAACGACCGTTCGGAGGGCCCCGAGGGTGGCCGACTCTGACGCTGCTCGGCCCGTAGCCCCCAGCGCGGCCCGCCGGCTATCCGAACGCGTTGTGCGCCCGCCCTCGCTGCTGACCAAATAGCGTGGCCACCATTGACGCTGCTCGAACCTTGGAGGCGGCCAGGGCCTTAGAAAATCGGTCAAGGGATGACGGTAAAAATCCGCTCAAAATCGGTTCCCAGACCCTCTGCCATGTTTCGCCCTGGATCCATTTCTAATGGTCCTGGGTCCCGAAAACGGCCCCGGGAGACCGAAACAGGTAGAAAACCTTCTCGAATCCAGCAGCTCGAACCTTTTCCTGCCCTTCCTGTTCGCCGGAACCAGTGGCAGGCCACCTCAGAACCCCATCCAGCTCCAAGGCCCTGCCTCCCCGACGCCTCCGAGGTACCTTCGAGGCCCTCCGGTGGCTCGAGAAGGCCTCCGAAGCCGAGGAGGCTCCCCCAAGGGTCTCCGATGGCCTCGGAGGGCCTCCTCGGAGGGCGCCCCCCCCCCGCCCCGGCGGGGCCCGGCCCGCCTGCTGCCCCACGGCCGCGGCGCCCTCGCCGCACGGCGCAGGCGCCTCGCTGCAGAGCAACGCCGCTTCGCGCAGGCCGCGCGCGGGCTCGGCCGCAGCCGGGGGCTGCACGTGGTCCACCGCCGTGCCTCTGTGCACGCTGGGGCGCGTTCGACGATGGAGGGTCCCTCCTCCGTGGCGAAGAGGATCTGAGTGTCAACACCATGAACCGACAGGGCAGCGGATGAAGAGAGGAAGGAGGTGAGAAGGGTACACACATACAGTAGGCATCGGGGGTGGACTTAATCCCTTTAACGAAACGCCCTTTCGTGAAAGCTGCCAGGGGCACTCCACGTGCGCACGGCACCGCAACCTGACTGCACTAGCGGGGTTGCTAATGACATCCAGAAACATCCGAATGCATCCGGCGAAACGCATGTCGATCAGCAACAGTGACTGGGGACTGCCCGAGCATCCTCGAATGCCAATGTCGAATGCCGAAGTCGAATGAACGCTGGGGCGCGTTAGGATGCGCACCATATTAAAAGCAGGGCGTCGCCGGGCGATCGACCCGGCTTGGCCGCGAGACTGCCGAGCGGACGCCCTCGCCTATACTCAAACATCCCCAATGCCCAACGCCCCCCTCTCCTGTACCGTCACTGTGCCATCATGAGGAACGCTGAAGAAGGAACGAAGGAGCTTTTCTGGCCACGGCGAGCCTCGGCCATGAGCAGGGCCCCCAGACAAATCTCTGAGGAGCAGCCCGAAAACCAGAACCCCTCCCGAAGCGGTCCGTATTTCAGCGTCTTGACTGTAGAAAGTGGTTGGCGCGGCGACCCACACTTGTGGGTCGCTGCGACGTGATGCTCTGGGTGAACGCGCCCGTCCGCGCGTAGAAGCGCCGACAACGACAACGACGACGACAACGACAAGAACGGAATCTACAACAACAGAAGCAGCGACGGCAACGCAGACAACAAAAACAACCGACGACTGGCTACCAAGAGATGGCAAACGAACATCGACGACAACCCCGACGCAATCCGATCAAATTTTGCAATCGTTGCGCCTCGGGCTGACAACCGAAACCACTCCGATATTTTCAATTTTAGGGCAAACTCGCCCGTCCGCGAATACAGCTGGCCTCGCTGCGACGGCGGCAGCGACGTCTACGGCGAATAAGACGACGCGAATAGCCGACAACCACAACAACAAACGCAACGTCGACAACCGACGGGTCGCGGCCCGTAGAAAACAAACGACCGCCGACGACGACGACGACGTGGACAACGACGCCAGTCGCCCCACCTTTGTTCACGCCACCGCGCTTCGGGTCCATTGCCAAAAACAACCCGTGATTCCGAAACTACAATAAACTCACCCGCCCGCGAGTAGGGCGCCGACACCGACAGAGACGACGACGACAATGACGACGGCTACAGCAGCAACAACAACAACAACAACAACATAAACAAACGCAGAAACAATTACTCACTGCGTGGAGCTCCCCGTATGTGCATTTCATGTCTATGTCATGTCATAGTGCGCGACTGTTCATGAGCGTTTGACTATAATAGCGCGTCCACATGGGCGACAGGGCCGACGAAGACGAGCGAATCCTAATGCGAGTGAGTGAGGATGAGTCACCCGTATGGCGGCTCCTTCTAAGGGTGCTGAAACCAGCGCCCCGCCTGAGACATCCTCACAACCCGCTCTGAAAGCCAAGGATGTTGGGCATGAGCGCGAGCAAACCGCCTGAGACATCCCCACGAACTCGCCGCGAACGGGCCCGTGCAAACACCCCTGGCGGCTCCCCTTACGGGCGCTGAAACCGGCGCCCCGCCTGAGACATCTTCAAAATCCGCACTGAAAGCCAAGGATGTTGGGCATGAAAACGAACAAACCGCCTGAGACGTCCCCACGAACTCGCCGCGAACGGGCCCGTGAAAACACCCCTGGCGGCTCCCCTTAGGGGTGCTGGAACCAGCGCCCCGCTTGAGACATCCTCACAACCCGCTCTGAAAGCCAAGGATGTTGGGCATGAGCGCGAGCAAACCGCCTGAGACATCCCCACGAACTCGCCGCGAACGGGCCCGTGAAAACACCCCTGGCGGCTCCCCCAGGGGCGCTGAAACCAGCACCCTGCCTGAGACATCCTGAAAATCTGCTCTGAAAGCCAAGGATGTTGGGCATGAGCGCGAGCAAACCGACCGAGACATAACCGCCTGCCACATCCCCACAAACTGGCCGCGAACGGGCTCGTGAAAACACCCCTGGCGGCTCCCATTAAGGGGTGCTGAAACCGGCGAACCGCCTGAGACATCCTCACAATGTGCTCTGAACGCAGAAGATGTTGAGCACCGAAACATGCAAACCGCGTGAAACATCCCCTACAATCTAGCCGCGAACGGGCCCGTGCAAACACCCTTGGCGGCTCCCCCTGGGGGTGCTAAAACCAGCGACCCGCCTGAGACATCCTCGCAATCTGCTCTCCAAGCGAAGGATGTTGGGCATGATAACAAGCGAACCACCTGAGACATCCCCACAAAACAGCCTCGAACGGGCCCGTGCAAACACCCCTGGCGGCTCCCCTTAGGGGTGCTGAAACGAACGACCCGCCTCAGACATCCTCGCAATCTTCTCTCCAAGCGAAGGATGTTGAGCACCGAAGCAGGCAAGCCGCCTGAGACATCCCTACAACATGGCCGTGAACGGGCCCGTGCAAACACCCCTGGCGGCTCCCCTGAGGGCTGCTGAAACCAGCGCCCCGCCTGAGACACCCTCCAAATCTGATGTGTGTTGAGTAAGTCAGACTATGAGAAGGCCTGAGTATGAGTAGGCCTGAGTATGAGTAAGAATGTGTATGGGTACGTATGGGTATGAGTAAGTCTGAGTATGAGTCAGTCTGTGTATGAATAAGTATGTGTAAGTATACGTATGGGTATGGCCCTGAATATGATCAAGTCTGTGTATGAGTAAGTCTGTGTATATGTACGTCTGGGTATGAGTAAGCATGGGTAGGTCGCAGTATGAGTAAGTCTGTGTGTGTGTGAGTAAGTCTGGGCATGAGTAAGTCTGAGTATGAGTGAGTCCGAGTAGGAGGAGAGGAGAAGAGGAGGGGACGACAAGAGGAAGGAGAAGGCGGAGTAGGAGGCGCCCAAGTAATAACACGAACCCCCCCTTAGGATATGGGGAACAACGACAACAACAACGCAGACAACGACAGCGACAACAACCGACGACTCAAGACCAAAAGGGGGTGAACGATCACCGACGACAACCCCGACGCAATCCGACCTAATTTTGACATCGCCATGCCTCTAGCTGGAAACCAAAACCACTCGATATTTCAATTTTAGGGCAGGCCCGCCCGCCCGCCAATCAAAACGCCGACGACAACGCCAACTTGAAACCGCCGATCTCTCGCGATGGAGGCCATTTTTCCATATATATATATATATATACATTTGTGTATACATGTATATATATATATTTATTCGTCGTGGTATTGTTTCCCACTCGATCTCGTCCTCAACGTCCTCTACTCCGCGATCCTCCTCCTCCTCCTACTCCTCCTCTTCCTCGTCCTTCTCCGACGCCGACGCCGCCTCCTCCCCCTCCTTTTCCTTCTCCGCCTCCCACTCCTCCAGTTCATCGTCGCCACCTCGCAATCCTTCTGTTCCTCCGCCCCCCTCTACCCTCCTCGACCTCGCGAGCCGACGCACTTTTGCAGCGTCGACGACAATGCGAGGCGCCCTAATGTGAACATCTCCCATAGCTCACCTCGACCGCCAGAACCACGCCCAAACTCCATTGTCAAGCATGCGCGCCCGTCAGCAAGCACGGACGCCGAAAGCGGAGACGACGACGACAAAGACGAGGGCGAGGACGACGACGACAAGGACATCGAGAAACGGCAACAACAACGACAATGACGGCGACAACGACGCCCGACAACCAGAGTCAACAAAAGGACGAACGGCATTTGACAAGGTACGACGACGCAAGCCACCTCAAGCTGAACATCGCCACGCCACCGGACACAAAGCAAAACCACTCCGAGACTTCACTTGCAAAGCAGACGAGCCCGTCGCTCCGCGCAGACGCTGGAGCCCGCAGCGACGACCACGTCAGCGACGACGACGACGACGACGACGACGACGACGACGACTACGACGGCGACAAGGACGACGACGACAACGAAGACAACGACGACGACGACAACAACAACAACAACAACAACAACAACAACAATTACTAGCACGTGGGGACACACCGTTCTCACCAGTGCCAGGGTTTTCATAGGAGGCGGGCAATACCCCCACTTTGTGGGGGGGCCGGTTCAAGCTCTACCAAATTTCCAAACGACTCTTCGCCACCACCCACACCCAGCTTCCCGCCCTATGACGTTCGGACACTTCACTTCGTGGCATGCGGACGACCGTGGCTACTATTCAGGGCCCCGCGGCCGACGACGACGGCGTGCGCGCGCGAAGAAAAAACGAATGTGTCCCGCATGGTATTATTTGACAGGGATGATGGCCCTGGCAGGTGCGCAACCGTTGTTGCAGAAGTTCGAAAAAGTTGCTCGCAAAAGCCCGTTTGACAGAAATGTTTAAAAAGTGTTGGGTTTCCTACGAATCCGCAAGAGCGCGCGGGATGAATTTTGACAATTTTTTTTGAAAAACCATTGGTTTTTTGATGTTTTTATGTTAAAATCGCTACGAAAACTAAGGTTTTGGAAGGATTTCGTCTTGCGCGCGCGAATGTCCACTTTACCTTATTTTTTGCAAGGGATTCTTGAAGTTTGGTTATGTTAGAACAAGAAATGTCCACTTTAGCTTATTTTTTGCAAGGGAAAACCGATCGTAACAACACAACCGGATCCGGACTCCCCCGTTTTGCCTGAGACTTCCTCACGAAAATGATGAAAATGAGGCTGCGGCCTAGGCGCGGCGGGGGGGCCATGCACCAGGGGCCCCAACAATAATTATTCTTTAGAAGTAATAATGTGCCAGGGTTTTCATAGGAGGCGGGCAATACCCCCACTTTGTGGGGGGGCCGGTTCAAGCTCTACCAAATTTCCAAACGACTCTTCGCCACCACCCACACCCAGCTTCCCGCCCTATGACGTTCGGACACTTCACTT